GATGACACTGTGATCTATTACTCATCCAGAACATGCACCAGACGATATTAACGACACCTTAAATTCAGATCTGGATATTGTAACAAACTGGTTCAATCAAAATCTATTATCCTTGAATACTTCTAAGAGTAAACAGTAGCGTAGCCAGCCCGACGATTAGTCCCGCTATGCAAATATTTTCGTGTTCATTGACTGTGAAAACAATCAAATTCTAAAGAAATGAATAATGATAATAATTTTGAATTTGCATAGCGGGACTAAATTGTCGGGCTGGCTACGCCACTGAGAGTAAATTCTTTTGTTTGGGAGTTCTCAAAAATTAAAAAAGATTGATGTTTCTAGTTTTAAAATTAGGACAGATAATGATAATATTGAGAGAGTAGAATCTGTCAAATATCTTGGCATAACCTTATATCAACATATGACCTGGGACGAGCATGTTGACAATGTTATTAAGAAAATAAACCAAAGGCTTGGTATAGTGTTGTCTATATAGGATCAGACATTTAATACTTCTCACGACAAGACTAGTACTATATAAGTACTTAATTTTACCTCTATTTGAATATGGGGACACAATCCGGGGTGATAAGAACAACTCTACTTTGATTGAACACTTACAAATTTTGCAGAATAAAGTTTTTTAAAGTTGCATGTTCCATAGTCCCAGCAGCCTAACCAGTGGCGTAGTCAGAGCTTTATTATTTTTTTTTGGAGAGGGGGGCGAACCTAATGCCTTCTGGTGCGGGAGCATGTTTCCCCAGAAAAAGTTTGAAATCTAGAATCCCAGGGATGAGATTTCAAGCAGTTTTGGGGTGACATTTTGCACAATTCTGAAGGTCATAAAATACATCAAAGACATTAATTTTCCCAGACATATCTTCTTGTATGGTGGCCCATTGTTATTATTGTGAATTCAGTAGATAATTTTAAAATAAAATTATATTTCGCAAACAAAATTAAAAAGAAAAAAAGAAATTAAATAAATAAAAAAAATTAAAAAATTAAAACATAGATATAAAAATATATGTAAAAAAAATAAAAAAAGCAAATTAAAAAAAACAAAAACAACTAACATGCAATTTGATTTTTAATTCTGAAATCAAATGTTCTCGACGTGGCCCATCGTTATCATAGACCAACATGCCTTGCGAACTTTAATGGTAATTTTCAATTGAAATTGTGGAGACACTTGTTTTCGTTCGAAGATTCCACATGCGATTTACGACAAAATGGCGAAGATGAACCAGATTTGGAAATAATTAAATGCCAAAGTGACGGCCAAAAGAACAATAAATCATAACGAACGCAATAACGGCCAGGAACTAGTTGTTCAACGACTAACCGCCGAACCTGACAACAAAAAAACTTTCCGTAAACTAAAGCGAAAACAATGTTTAAGATACTTCATAATATAAGGCCAAATTGCCTCAAAGACTTATTCATTTTCAAAAATGAAATATTAAATCATAATCTCCGTGACAGCTCATGCAACCATGCACATTACGGTTGCCAAAGCCACGTTCGAACAGTTTAAAAAAAAGTTTCATGTATGACGGAGCTTTCATATGGAACTCTTTGCCAGGAATTATTAGAGAAAGCAAAACGCTATCAATTTTCGAAAGGAAAATCGCAACCCATTGTTATTAAAGCATGATTGTAAATAGTAAATTAACTTATATTATATATAGTATATTTTCTTTTTCACATATTTGCATGTAATTTCTTACTACCTTTTCCTTTTTTTGTAAATTTACTTTTGTTCACACGCTCATTGTGGAAACCAGCTGTAGCTGACAATGTTAGCGTGGTTAAATAAAGTTTATCATCAATCCATCATCCGTCCGGTTCAACCACGCGAGTTCGTCGAGTTTGAATGCGACGAATTGACGTTGGACCGAAATATCACCATCAAGAGTATTAAAAAACTTCGGAGCTTGAAAAATAGCTGAAAGTTTCCTGATATTTGTCCTACAGAAAGATATATGATACAGATGTGAAAAACTTGTATCATATTTATGAATATGATTCATACGAGGAAACAGATTATCAAAACTACTAGGGAGTAAATTATTATGATATAAATACATAAATTTACCAAGATGATACAAATCTTTAGTTCACTAAAAATGGGATCAGAACGTGCATCAAATGGTTCTTGATTCAAAATTCACATAATACGCTTTTGAAGCAAAATAATACGTTTTAAATTTGATGGGTAAGTAGAACCCCAAACAGTGATACAATACTGTAAATAGGGATAAACAAGCGAATATAATTTACATAAAGAAGATTTTGAAAGAAAAAAAACTAGCTTTGTATATAATACCAATAGATTTCGATATTTTCCTAGCAACATGAGAAATATGAGGTTTCCAAGAAATATGTTCATCTAGGATAACACCAAGGAAAACGACCTCTTTAACCCTATCGATCAATCACACAACCATTTATCATTATAGACAAATCATTATGCAACATTCTTTTCTGTCGGGATTTAAAGATCATATAATTAGATTTTTTTAGTATTTATCGACACTTATTAGCCTTGAACCACTCAGATAACCTTTCAATCTCGCAATTGACTATATTCGTTAATTTAAGGAAGAGAAGTCATTATGCGAAAAAAAATACATTTGCATCGTCAGCAAACGAAATCAATTCTAAAATATTAGAAAAAATATTAGTTGATATATAGGAGAAACAGGAGTGGACCAAGGACAGAACCTTGAGGCACTCCACATTGAATAATTTTATAAGAGGAACATGTATTATTATATTGAACAAATTGCAATCGATTGGAAAGGTAACTTTTCATCCATGTAAGCGCCACTCCTCGGATGCCATAATAGTAAGTTTATCAAATAGAATTTCATGGTCTACCGTATCAAATGCCTTAGAAAGATCTAGAAAAATCCCAATCGTAAATTCTTTCCGATCAATAGCTGATGTTATTTTTTCGCACAAATTCATTAAAGCTAAAGATGTTGAATGGTTTTTTCTGAAGCCATATTGACTATTGAAAAAAATACATGAATTATTAATATAATCTAAAATACGTTTATGGACGACTCTTTCCAATAACTTAGAAAAGATAGGTAGGATTGATATAGGTCTGTAATTCTGAAAGAGTCTATGATCGCCAGACTTAAATAAGGGTACAGCACGGGCAATTTTCATAAGATCAGGAACAATGCCCGAGGAAGTAGATAAATTGATAAATATGAGTAAGAGGACTAGCGATTATATCCATAGAGTCCTTTAGAGCCGACATCAGTAACTTATCATAGCCAGCAGCCGTTCCAGACCGCAGTGAATTAATTATGTCAATTATTTCTTGTTGGGTAGTCAATTCGAGTGATATGGAGTTAATATAATTTCCCGTTAAATATGTATGGTGCGTGATATTAGACTCAGGTATTTCCTTTGCTAGATTAAATTAATACCAATATTATAAAGAAATAGTTACAAAAATTATTGGCAATTTCAGTGGGATTGGAAATTTCTTTATCATTGGAAACAAAGGTTGATGGTAATTTACAGGTGTGTTTTTCTTGTTAATGACTTCATTCAATATTTGCCATGTTATTTTAATATTTGCCTTGAAATACTCTAATTGTTTGTCAGAGTAAATGCGTTTAGTTAAGAAATAGAAAACGAGTCGCGTGCGTTTATGGTGTGATAATGCACGCGGGGAATGTTGGGAGAATACGAGAGAAGCGTGTAAAACACGAGGCGTAGCCGAGTGTTTTACACGCTTCTCGAGTATTCTCCCAACATTTCCCAAGTGCATTATCACACCATAAACGCACGAGACGAGTTTTTCTATTTCTTTTATAATATAAGTAGAAGATATTACATAGTAGACAATTTTACTCAAAAGATCGACGATGAAATTCTCCTAACATGTACTCAGTGACGTCACGCGCATGTATGTCACGTGTATGTTGCCAAAACAACA